CCCGAAGATTCCAAATTTAGGCAGGGGGTGGAGGAAGCAGCATATAAAGGCGCTGGAAGCTTGAGGGCAGACAGACTCCTCTGACCCAGGTAAGAGGGGGTTGGGGTGGGATGTTCTGTGGTCAGCGCCAGAGCTGTCACCTTGAGGGACCCTGCCCTCTCCTGCAGTGAGGTACATGTCAGTCAGGGGATGTTCCCACTGACAGAGGAGAGGTTCCAGGGATCAAACAGAAACTGCTTTTCTTCTCAGACTCTGCATTTCTTTCCCTGCATCCTGTTACCCCCGGCTTTCTGTGTCTTCTCACGTACTGTCTCCATTTTTCTCCCTCCTTTGGAAAATCTGCAAGAGATTTTGTCCCAGTTTTACTTTGTCTCTCGGTCTTCATCCATACTTGTCATTATCATGCTTCTCTACCTGTCTCTACCCCTTTCCCTTCCCTCTTGGCTGTGTATTCTAATCTCCTTGCCTCTCTTGGTTTCCAACTCTTTCTCTATGTCCCGTTGCTCACACTTGTACTAACTCTGCATCCTTTCTTTCCTGCCTCTCTGCCTCTTCTCTCTCCTAACTGTGTATTCTGGTCTGTCCCGCTCTTGTCTGTGCGTCTGTGCCTGAGGGTCAAGCTTCCTGGCTCCCTCTCCCTCTCCCAGTCTCCTGCCAGTCAATATTCATTCTCCCTGTCTGTCCTCTTCTCTTCCGGGCTGTTCCTCTGTGGCTCCTTGCTCCACCCATGGTCCAGATTCTTCAGGACTCTCTGTGAAGAGAGAAGCAGGTGAGAACTGCCCTGATTTTCTCTCCTAGCCAGCAGAGCATGCTTCTCCTGGGAGCCAGGTTGCTGGATGAAGGGCTTGCTGTCTCTCGTCTGAGCAGCTCACACCTCCCCTTAGCAAACTCCAGGAAGTTCCACCCTGACCCAAACCCCTGCTGAGGAGGGCTAGACCCAGGCCAGGCGCTTCTAGGGGGTGAGGGGGAGAAACAACACAGCCTAAGTAGCAGAAGAGGTGAACAGGGAATAGGAGTTGGAAGGACAACGCCACCCACTGAATCCTAGGCCCACCTCAGGAGTGACAGAGCCCTCCTGTCTCATCCCCAGAGCATCGAGAAGATGGATGATGCCCAGATGGCTGATTTCGGGGCAGCAGCCCAGTACCTCCGCAAGTCAGAGAAGGAGCGTCTGGAGGCCCAGACCCGGCCCTTCGACATCCGCACTGAGTGCTTTGTGCCAGACGACAAGGAGGAGTTCGTCAAGGCCAAGATCTTGTCCCGGGAGGGTGGCAAGGTCACTGCTGAAACCGAGAATGGCAAGGTGTGTGGGGCACAGAGTCAGGGGAAAGAGAGAGAAGGTTTCGGGTGTGGAGCTGCTTACAGTGGGAGCTGAGGGCCTGACCAAGGCGGCAGGAGGCTGAGGGTCCTGGAGAAGAGCCAAGGCGAGAAAGGAAGTCCCTTCTGAGGAGCTCTGGACCTCTAGTGAGGGTTCGTCCCCTTCTCAAACAGACCTGAGCGGGTGCATTGGTGCCACCCAGGGATGCACCCCCATTGCCAGACAGGATGCTGTGGTAGCGTGGGAGTCTTAGCTGTAATCCTTCTCAGGGAGTCTTGCAGATAAAGAGGGCACAGGCGCAGCATTAAATGAAGTTCCTCATTTTGCGCTTGTATGCCTCCTCTCCATGCCTCAGTTTCCTCCATGAGCCCACTCTTTAAAATCCCCCTCGCCCAAACCAAGAGCAAATTCTTAGACCCAGACAAAGGTAAAGAACAGGAATATTTGAGCTGAACACTCAGTTCTGGGGCTGGTGACAACAGGTGCTCAGAAGCCTCTGGTCCCTGAGGTGCTCATGCCAGCGATGAGAATCACCACTGGTCATCAGCTGTGGCTTAGAACGGTGTGCATCACAGACTCACTGACTGAACTTGGTGACCCACTGAGGTGTGGAATAACAGGCCACAACCCACCAGGGGCTTTGATTCTGATCCCAGCTCTGCCACTGCAAATCCTGAGAGCCACAGCTTCCTCCCCTATAAAGCAGATGCTGGAATACCTACCTATGGGATCTAATGACATCAAGGCATGGCAAACTGACCAGTGCCAATCCAACCACACCAACAGTGACCCACGAGGGGTGTAGAGTAGATGGATGAGCTTTTTTCCAGTAGGGGGAAGGGTTTGCCTGAGCAACTGATGTCCTCAAGCATCGCCCCTTTGTGAACAAAAGCACCCCCCCATGAGGTGGTCCCCGGATCAGGAGTGAGGTGTGTGTGCACAGATCAGAGAACTTCGCCCCGAGTTCACTCCTAGACACTTGAAGCATAGAGACTGAAAGGTGATGATGAGGCATCCTGGCAAGAGAAAAGGACCCTAGGATAGTATCTAGGATGAGAGAAACAGCAGAAAGTCACATTATCTGGAGAAGGTGTCCTGGGGAAGCTGTGAGGCAGGAGGCCTGGGCACCGACCAGGGGAGGGTTGAGGGAGTGAGGCCAGGTCCTGGCTCTGTGTTCTGAGAGGAAAGTGGGTGAGGTTGGCGAGCACAGCTGACAAGGGCTCTGGTGGAAGTGTGGTCATACCAGCTCGACTGCCCATGCTCCCTCCCCAGACGGTGACAGTGAAGGAGGACCAGGTGTTGCAGCAGAACCCACCCAAGTTCGACAAGATTGAGGACATGGCCATGCTGACCTTCCTGCACGAGCCCGCTGTGCTCTTCAACCTCAAGGAGCGCTATG